GGGCCAGCCGTCCACGCAGGCAGCCGTCCACGCAGGCAGCACACCAGCTCCAGGGGGAGGCCACCAGGAATTAGCCAACAAACCCCAACCCATCTCCTGCTGGCCCCAGCAAAAAAGCAGCACTGCAGCTTCCACCGGGCGTTCGCAGCCCGACCCTCCCCGGCCAGCGCTGTCCCCGGGGTGCAGGCGGCTGTGGAATCGCCGAGGTCTCACAGAGGTTGTGCCCTACCCTCCCTGGGGTGTTTGAAAGGGTTTTCCACCTCTGCCCTAGTTGTCTCTCTTCCCAAAGTTTGTAGGGATTTTCTCTCTTCAAATGATCTCTGCTACTATTAAATGGTATTAAATTTGGCCAGTGAGTTCAAAAGCTGGTGGGGGACTGGGGCTGGGGGGAGGAAGACAGCTGGCAGCCAGCAAGGTGCTGGTTTGCGGAGAAGCCCACCAGCGTAGCCTGAAGTCAAGCGTTGAAGCAACATATCCTACCCAAGGCAGGCAGAAAAGGTAAAGGACTCTGAGGAGGCAGGCGTTTATGGGACACCAGGAGTTATTTTAACATGTTTCTTAAAGCATCAAGTATTCTGAAGCTGCTGTAGGTGCAGCAACAAGTCCTTGGTTATCTGCACAGTTATCTCCACGCTTGGAAACCAAAGGTCATAGTGCAAGCACTGACATCAGATATGTAATCCTAATTTACCACTTTCTGAGCTGAAAACGCCACATCCCTGTGACAGAGTCTAACCAGCCCAGATAAACTGATACACCAGCTCCAACCCTTCCTGCCAGCCGTCCCGGTCAGCGTGGGCTTTGGCTGGGAATCGATCCCTGTGGCTTTGCCACCGCTGTCAGTAACATCAAGTGTCCCTGCAGGAACCTCGGCTGCCTGGGGAGAGTGGGGCTGTGGCAGATGGAGCAGGGGACAGGACTGGCTGTGGTCGGGGTGGAGGGAAAAGCAACGCGCTTGCCTGTTCTCTCACCTTTGCCTGCTTTCCCTCCCCTCCACCCCCCTTCCTTTGCTATTTTGCCCCATCCTGAGCTGTTTGAGGACTGTGGATATTTAGTACACCTGGCAAGACTTCTTATGGGCAGGTGCAAAATGTCTCTCTGCACGTATTTATACAGAAACACATCGCACCGAGACCTGGGTGCTTGCAGATTTGCACAGATGTGCGCAGAGATGCTCTCCCGCATCTCTGCCCGTGTGTCTGAGCTCCCCGGGGCTCCTCCCCGAGCAAGCCCGACAGCGGGCACCCCGACACGCCACCGGCCCAGCCGAGAGCCACGGCTGCTCATCGCAGACAGGTGATGGAGCCGAGAGAGCCCCGGCCCCTCTGCCTGCTGCTGCTCTCACCGCTGCCTGTCCCTGCGGGAGGAAAGGGCTCTCCCATCCCTCGCTGCAGCTTCCTTCCCCTTGGACCCTGTTCAAAGCCAGCCTCGGTGGCACCTGCAAAACATTTTTGCTTGCAAGTCTCAGAAGCAAACAGTTTGGAACCGATACAAACAGCTCCTCTGTCGCTGTGGTGATTCTTGTTAGCACGGGGTGGGTGATGGGGAGATTTTTTCCCCTCTCGCCTATAAGTCTTGCACAAGCTGAATCCACAAGCTGGATGGGAAATTAGCCATCTCGGCATTTTTCCACTTTACTTCGCTTTTTTGGTTGATGTCATATCGTAACACATGGCATCGTACAGAGAAATGAAAAACAAAACCCAAGAGAAACAAATCCCCTCCTGCCTTCCCCTGCCCCAAATCTGTCGAAGGGGTTCAACCTCACCCCAAACTTCATCTGCCAGAGCCAGGGCTGCTCCAGGGGTGCGGGACCGACTCGGGATGACCCATCCTGCTTGTACTGGCAGTGAGCCGGCGTTTAGTGGGGCGAGCCTCATTCCTCACCCCCCCAGATCCACTAGCACCGCCCCTGAGATGTTTGGGCAGAGGCTGGCTGCGTTCGCACAGCCAGGGACAGGGTATCTGAGAGGGCACTCAGACCCCAACCATCCATCCAAGCCACGTCCCAGCTCCCGCCGTGCCGGCTCTGGGAGGACCCAGCCCGTCTCTCAGACACAGCCTTGGAGGTGCCCCAGCCATTCCCTGCAAGGACACATCTGTTCTATTAGTGATGCTGCCCTGCCTGGGGTGAAAGGGTATTAGAGGGAGAACTACTGATAATCTTGTCGGTCGACAGAAATGCTGATGGCTTAGTTTTCTAGCAGTAACCCTCTTCTCATCCCTCCAAGAAGAGACGCCCAAAGAAACAGAGCAGCTGTTACCTGCCGGTGACTTCAATGTTGGAAACGGCATAGAAGTACTTGTACAAGTTCTCCCTCTGCACGTAGGTGCCCCCCAGGGCTGGTCTCAGCAGTCTCATCCGCAGGTCGGTCACAGTAAAGAAGTCCTTGAGCCCTTTGGCGCTCTCCAGCCGGGTGTACAAGTTGTCCATGTTCTTGAGGTCAGGGCCAGCAAAGATGGCAAAGCGGTCCCTCACCTCGAAGCGGACCGTCTTCTCTTTTTTGGAGCCCGCCCAGCGGGAGTACTCCTCTGTGCAGAGGACCCTGTTGGCACTCGTGGTGGAGAGGTCCCGGACCCTCCGTGCTGGCATGCTGAAGGCCTCCATGCAGTCATCTGCGTAATATTGGTATGGGTGCCAAGTCCTCCCATTGTCCAGCGACTTCTCCAGCATCATGATGGTGGGTCTGCCGTACTCGAAGGTTATCACGATGTCATCTGTCAGCTCGATGCTCTTGTTCCAGGACAGCGTGATGTTGGCCAGCAGTGGCTCCGGGTACCGGCGCCACGTCACGCTCTGCCAGTACGTGGCCAGCCCTTCGTCCTCGCTGTCGAACATGAGTTTTGGCGGGTGGGCCAGGTCCGGGTTGGAGGCGTCACACTCGTCACTGCACAGGTACGGGTTCTCCTGGAACAACAACAATGGTCACGAGAGAAGGCGGCAATGCCTGGGCATCGCGTGGGCATCGCGGCACGTGGCCGGCCTCGCACCATTACTGGGCCCGGGTTTTAGCCGCTTGTGCCAAACGTTAACTGCTGGGCTGAACTGGAGTATGCTGGGGGTCTGGCTCTGGATGATGCCGTTTCTGAGCATGAATTTAAGACAGAAATACATGGTGCTGCCTTTGCTGTAAGAACAGCTGAGCTGTTTCCTTTGAAAGGCCCTTCGGGAAAGGGCCTTTCAATTTGGCACAGGGGCAATTTTCATAGAAAGCGCTTTCCCTGAGACGGTCTCTGAGAAACTTCGCTTAAGCTTGGCTGAGTTACAAGCCTACGGAAAGCTGCGTTCACCCCTGCTCCTTTGCAAGAACCGAATGGCTAAAATCCCCAAAGCACATCCACGCCTCTCATGGCTCCCGATGCCAAACGGGCTGGGGACACACCGTCCCCCCCAGTGCCTCTGAGCATGGCTACAGGAGAGAAACCCAATTTCCCCAGCTCCGAGCTGGGACAGGACTGGGCGGTAGCAGAGAGAGCAGAGATTTGTGCTCCCGGTGTCTCCGCTGTCCCCAGGACAGCATCCTGGCCTCGGGGACATGCAGAGCGGGTATGCTCGGGATGCACCCACTCAGCCCGATGCGATGACTGTTGCTGGTCACTCCTCAGTTCAACCCAAACTAACCAGAGGCTGAGCTGACGGGGGATCGGGAAGGGAACGGGGCAGGCGGCTCTGCGCCCACCACCAGCGCTCAGAAGGGACCCGGGATTCCTGCAGCCTAAACCCAGTCCCCAGCCACTTGCTGCTTGTCCTTAGCCTGTGGCAAACAGAAGGGAACGTCAGTTAACGTCTGTCTTTGCAGGAACTGAGTTAGGGAGCCGTGCCTGGCAGCCCTGCTGCCTGCGGGGACAGGTCCTTCCCAAGCTGCCCTGCCTTCCCCAGCTGCAGGACGGAGGTGCAATGGTCCTCGCCTGCCCGCAGGGACCATGATGGGAAGGATGGCTCATCCCATCCAGGTGACAATGACCGCTGCTATGTCACTCATTGCCTGCAGGCCTGGGCAATGGGAGAAAAGGTCCAGCCATCCCATTTTGCCCACAAGTGACAGCGCATGGCCAAGCTTGCATCCACATGTGCTGAACTGCACTAAGGATGTATCATCAAGGCCACACACCAAACGTTGACGTTTTGGAGGTAGGCATGAGGGTTAGCTGTGCCAATGGGTTTAGTGCTCATCCATATGTGTGTTAAAGCCCGTCATTACTTGCGCTGCAGCCCCTGCCTCCAGGAGCCTGTGGGTCAGACCTGCCTTGGGGATGATGTGGGGCTGTGTTTTAGTGGGTACCAGCTGCAAAAAAACCCTCTCCAACACACTGCAAATCTGTTTTGCATATGAAGCATCCCTTTGCTGTCACTTTACCTCCCTCTCAGACTCAAAATCCAGAGGATCGGGGAGGGAGAGGGATTGGTACGACAGCGGGCTCTGCTGCGGTGGGACCCTCGTCAGGGAGGCAGGGCCACCTGGCAGAGGAGGAGGAGGTCATAAAGCAGCTGGAGCTGCTCAGAGCTGATGGCTGGGGGCAAGGAGCCTGCTGGGGTGTGAGGTCTGGCCCTCCTGAGTACAGCAAACTTGCAAGGTAAGACCGAGCCGGGTTTTGTGGTTTGGTTTGTAAATGTTTTGTGCGTGGTCAGGAACCCATGGGAAGGTGCTGTGTGCAGGGAGCAGTGTGCTCCTGCCCGGCCCTGAGGACCTGCGGCAGCACCGGGGCTGTGCCGGGGTGTGGGGGCTGCTGGTCCCCGGCTGGCAGGGAGCTGATGCTGGTACCCAGGGGCTCAAACAAACGAGGTGCAGGGCTGGGGTCTGCGCAGGCTGGTTGTGTCCCAGGG